TTAAAAGCTGCTGTGTTTCGTATGGTGAGTGTAGAGAACCGGAGACCCTTTTTACTGGAAACGATGCAATCCATCTTAGTTCTCACGGGTGACAACGCATCTGCATTTTGATTCGTAATCGAGGAGAGATGAGGGTAGGTGTGGTCCTTCCCCGGTCGAGCCAGCCCATTCGTGCTACAACTACAATATAGCTGAAGCGTGGCTCTATCACACATAATTTCATGTTAAATATGAAATTGTGCTAAAATATTATTCCTTGCTCTTAAAAAGTAAATTGTTACATAACATGGAGCGTTGTTAAATACAAGTATGTAGGTATAATGGTTGGTAGAATTTACTGACATTATCGTATTTCGTAACCAGTGAACCTGAAAACTGTGTGAAATTTAACATGGAAAATATTTCGGGCAGAGATAAGATAGGATTAAGGCAATCCAGGCGAGATAAGGGTGGAAATAAATGAACATTGTCGGGACACATTCGCAGGCAAAGTAATAGCTATGAAGAGCAAAGTGAGATTTATATTGAGTTTCATCGATTTAATATTGATTTTGATATGTGTATAAAAATTTGCATCAATACAATCTCGTGAAATGAATTATTTAAATAAAATTAAAAAATACTCTCTTTAGAAAATCTTTCATCTCGTTAACAACTGATAGTATTTACCTTTTTATATTTTTAATGTTTAGTACGCTTCACTTTGATGGTTTAACTCATAAAGCTGCTATCATATTATTTCACTACGCACAAAGTTGACTGGCTCAGAATGCCTCATTAAGTCGGCCTTTCGTGAACCTTTTTATGTAGTAAAGAAATAATTGTATAAGTAGCCTACAAATATCTCACAACTGTCCATGAGCTATATGTTAATGCACGTTAGTGATTACTCGTTTTTTCATGATTTTATTAAAGTCAAGTTTTTAATGAATCACTTCTGGGAATTTAAAATGAGTTAGTAAATTCGGGTCGAATTTAGTAAATATTTTGAACTGGTTTCTCGACGAGCTAAATACTTGACAATTTGAACATAGTGCAGAATCGTATTTGCTAATTATGTTGCACGAATGGGTCAGCTCGACCGGGACAGGATAATGCTCTCACAGAATATCAGCTTAAAATAGCATCAGTGAGTGTAGAGCTCAAGAGACCCTTTCTATTGGAAACGAGGCACTCCATCTTAGTCCCCAGGGGTGAGAACGTATTTGCATTTTAGATTCTTAATTGAGGATAAATGTAGATTGCAGATATCTATGCGCTACAGCATCCCCTTACTATCAGGTGAACTCTGTGATTGTTTGTCAAACTTATTGTATAAAAAATATTCGGATGACAATGTAAGAATATAAAAAAACCAAAAAGAATTTCATAATTTTTAGTCCGTTTTAAAACCATGGTACATATAAATGTTTATATACATAAACTTGTTTCATAACTTCAATCTTTGGGAATAAGAGGAATTCAGTTATTTTTATTTCAAAGTTATTTAAGTAATAAAACTCAATGTATTAGGATTGATCCTTATATAGTTTTGATCTGCAAATTACTTACGGCATACCGCAGGGAAGTATTCTTGGCCCAAGTTTGTTTTTAGTATTAATAAATGACTTGTGTAACATCAATCTTTTAAACGGAATGATCTTTTCCTACGCAGATGATACAGCAATTGTGTTTCACTCGAATACTTGAACTGTAACCTATACCCTTGCTCAAAAATAGTTTGATATTGTAAAAAAATAGTTGAACGCTTATTTACTTACTTTGAACGTAGAAAAAACAAAATTAATAGACTTCTCTATTAGAAACACAAAAACTTCAATAATAAACTCATTTCAAATCGTTGTTAAGCCTCCCCTTTGTAAGTTGTACTATTACTTATATCCCCTATATGATATAAGTAATAGTACGACCAATAATGACCTACTCTATATAAAAAAGTGACATCTTGGAACGATATTTGATAATAACCTCACATTTAAAGCTTATATTGAATATTGTCAAACAGAGTCCGTAAACTTATCTACATTTTTAAACAATTACGTCCATCCCCAAATTCAGAACTCATGAAATGGTTTATGTAACATTGTGTCAATCAGTTTTATCCTACATATATCCACGTGGGGTGGTGCGGCTAAAAGTAATTTTATACAACTTGATCGGGAACAGAGAGCTGTTCTAAAAGTATGTTGTTTTAAACCGCGTATGTTTCCTATCAAGCTTTCCTATCCAGCTTTATGGCTATTGCCAAGTACTAACACAACTAGAGAATTATTTATTTTAACCACTAGTCTCAAACAACATGCCTCAACCAAATATATCCCTGAATGGACACGCAACTAGTTGTAACATCTACTGAAGTTAAAACTGTATTTAGTCACAGATTCTTCATATTTCATGCCCCCTTTTTATATATTAAATTACTTAAAACCTTATCCCTATTTTCTCGAAATCAATATGAGTGCAAAAACGTTATTCTAAACTGGCTCTTTAAGCAAACCTATGCAAAAACAGAAGATTTGGAGGTTGTCGTGTAACATACACACACAAACTTTTCTAAGTTTTCTTGTCCAATTTACAGTTATATTACATATAGAACAGTTATTTTATTAATAATGACAAATGTGGAAATAGAGTTAATCTTTATGTGTTAATGTTTAGACGCAAATAGCATTTCTTGTAGAGGCGGAGACCTGGTGACCTGTAATACTACCCGTAATACTATCTTACCCACCATAGGCACCAGCGATCCACAGACAAAGTTGTTATGTACTACTGATATGCTACCCATAATACTAAGTATAACTTTGTTTGTAGTGAGAAATAAACGTTATTATTATTTTATTATTATTATTTAGATACACTTAAAAATGTAATTTTAAATTTCAGCGATACCAACGTGGATTAAACTAGTATTTAATTACCCTCGATCTAATTTAGTGTAAATAAATAAAATGTTTAATTATGGACAATGCAATATATTTCTATTAACTAAAACTAATCGTGATTTTCATATCAACAATATCACGAAACAATTAGAATATTTAGATTCATTGAAGAACAACGAAGTGCTCAAAATAATCTATGGGTTTACAAATTTAAGGGTGTAAGCATAGAGTAAGGCCCCTATAACTAGTTACGACGTGTAGCAGAGGGTCACTGAAATAACGAACATAGCCGTGAAACCCAATAAACGTTACCGAAAATTTATTGGTTGTAATTCAAAGGAAATACCATATGTCAGTGGCACCTCCTGCGCGGCGTCATGGTGAACGATAATTGAAAATAAATGTCTTAACAAGGAGCTGCGCTCTCAGCAATATGTTTAATGTATGGGCATATATTAAGACCAGACTGGTAGATAATGTACATATAGGGCATACGCACATCGTATATTTTCCACCGGTCGTTGAAAACCTGTTTCAAATTTCGTAACAGTTCTGCGGAAATACAAACACCTAAATCCAAAACACAACTTTCTTTATTTCATTCCATCAGTAGTCGTCATCAACTACATAATCTGCCCCCGAAGACTGTTACAAAGCTTTTGTTAACTGTCAAATATACACGAATTAAAAACCTTCTTTATATGTTTTAATATTATTTTAGTTAGCAAAGTCCGCCAACTCACATTGGCGAAGCGCTGCGGCTACTTCCTCCCTAAAAACCCTCACAGTAGTGGGAGGAGTCCAGTGCCCAGCAGTGAGACGTATATACTTGTAGGCTGTAACTATAATAGTCAGCAAAATCCACCTGATGGTAAGTGACTACGTTTCCTCGTAATGTTTTTTTTTCACTGTTGTATTCGTGTTCGTTTTTTTTTTAGCATTAGGTGACAAATGAGCACACAGTCCACCTGATGGTGAGTGGATGCTGTGGCCCAAAGACATTCACATTTATCCTCAATTAAGTATCATAATGCAAATGCTTTGTCACCCCTGAGGAATAAGATGGAATGCCTCAATTTCAGTTAAAATGATCTCCGGTTCTCTACACTCAGCATATGAAACACAACAGCATTGTGTTGCTATTTTACGCTGGCATTCTGTGAGAGCGTGGTCCTGCTCCGATCGAGCCAACCCATTCGTGCTACAACTATAATATAGCTACAGCATGGTTTTGCAGCGTTAAAACCAGCACCTAAACTAAAATTTAAAATTTTATTGGTGTCGGGGGAATTTGAACTCGAGTTGCTCTCATACGTTTTACGACGAGCAAAGCCTTATCTAACACGGCTTCGTAATCGAGGGTAGATGTAGATGTCTATGGGCCAAAGCAATCACTTACCATCAGGTGGACTGTGTGCTCGTTTGTCGCCCTATTCTATAAAAAAAATCCTTTGGGACAACCTATGGGGTGGGCCTATGATCACCAGTGGACTTTCATAGGCTGTAATGGAATAATAATTTAACCCATTACTTCCCAAGCTTCGAAAACATTGGAATTTTTTGATTAATTCTTTAAATTAAGTTCATAATACATTAAGAAAAAAAGAATATAACAAATAAATAAAAAAAATATACCTTCATCCCCATTTCAGCCTGTCCTATAATATGACAATGGGGACATGTGATGAGAAATAATACAAGTTAACAATTATAAGAAAATCTGCTTTATTTGAAAATTATTATCCACAGTCTTAAAAATAAAATATTATGAACTTATTTTGTATGATAAGGTATAAAACAATCACTGCAAAGTGTTTTTTCACATTTAGCACAAAAAGTTATAGGTTTTTTCTTACAACCTTGTCCTTGACAACGCATCTGTTTGTCCCTCTTTGTCATATAGTGACCAACATTATCAAACCTGACAGGTTGTAAAAGAACTTCTGAAGAACCGTGTGTCGGTTTACTTGCCTTGCCTTTCGATTTTTTCATCCATGCAAAACAAACCCTTCGTCTGAAATCTAGCAGATTGATGGTCTCATCTTTATTTATCTGGTTGTAGATAATCCATGCATTCACAAGGGACATGTCTAAAACACGGATGACTAAAGGCCATTACCATTTTTTACCTCTAAAGCAGATTGGATATTTAGAAATCAACCAATCATGTTTATCCACTCCTCCCATATTTTTATTATAATTATGAAAAAGCATTGGCTGATTCACGGCTACTTCGGCCTTTTCTTTCTTTGAGTACCTATTCGTTTTTACCAAAGGTTCAACAGAATCAAAATTAGTCAAAAGACTAACAACATTGTTTTCATGCCATTTCACGTACAAAACATCATTATTTTTATCAAAACAATAATCGGAAAAACCTCGGTCTTTCTTTTTCATCTCCTTTTTGGTCATGATAGGACATTTTTTAATCCTATTTTCTCTGACTGTCCCTGTAGCTCTGAACCCTTGAGATTTCAAATCAATCAACAATTGTATGCTGCTGAAAAAGTTATCGAAGTAGACTACGTGTGCTCTGGGATCTGTACAAATTGCAAGCAACTTTTTTACCACTGTTGCACCCAAGCCAACGTTACTACAAGCAGAGATTTGAGCATCCTTGCCCGTGTAAAGCGAAAAGTTGTAACAATATCCGCTGACTCCACACAGTGCCCAAAGATTATATCTGAACTTTACTGGTTTACCTTTTATAAATTGTTTGATTCCATGGTGACCAAAGTATTTGACGATCATTTCATCAACAGCTAAATTGGATTCATATATACCAAACTTTCGGAATGATTCATTAGCTTTTTCGATAAGTGGGCAAATTTTGAAAACTTTTTCAGTATTATCAATTTGTGAGTTGTCATTGAAATTTAAATTGGATTTAATTTTATCAAAACGATTACGGGACATTGCCGGTTCAACAAATGGAATATGTACATCCTCATCTCTACACCAATAAAGTTTACTTTGCGGCAAGTGATGACACGAAGAGAAAAACAAAATTCCTACAAAGACTTTTAACTCATTTATAGTTAGATTGAAGTTCAAATCATTTTTATAATGTTTGGCGTAGGTTACAGTTTCGTGCACAATATATTCTAGAATGTCGTGACACAACAAGTTTTCGAATATTTCTACAGCTGATTTTCCTTCCAACTCCGTAATCATACTTTCCAAACTTTGTTTAGCAGTATTAGATTCCGGCTGTATTTCAGAATATACTGGTTTACACTTACGCCAAGTGACTGTCTTGCATGTCCGAGATGTGGTTTAAGTAGGATGATTTTCCGCGACGTTATCGATCGTTCATGAAAATTCCACTTGACCAGCTACATAAGACACTGGAAAAACTCCCATATCGTCGTCATGACCTTCTTCTATGTCAGTCATTTCATCTACCTCATCCGGCGGCAATATGGCAACTTCAATGTCATTCAACTCCTCATCACTAGAATCTTCAATATCTTGAAGATAGTCTACGATTTCGGACACCTTCAAAGCTTTTTTATACTTTTTTTGCACTGGATCCATGATCTATAAATAATAAAAAATAGAAAATATAAATACATAGCCACACGAATACTTATAATGATACAGATAGGTATATTGTTAACAATTAGATAAAGAACAACAACAAGATTTGACGAAAAACATTATTCTTGCAATAAATGATCCTGTTTTAATAACTCAGCATTGAAACAGCATTGAAACAACAATCTATGAAGTAATTTCGTATTGCTTAAATCACTCTCCTTTGAAAATTCTAGTTTGGTCGTGATACATGATATGATGAAATTTATTGCGAGACATACCGCTATGGCTAATAAATACGGGCTCATATTTTTGGTTCAAAGAAAATCATGTGAGTTAAAGCAAAGAGCCAGTTCTAAAAGTTTAACCAACCTTTGTTAACGCTTTCTGCACCGACGTGGAATTAAAGTTTGACCAAAGTTTTCAATGTGGAACTGCCATAAACTGTCGACTAAGTTTATGTGCTGACAGAACAGGTATAGTGGCTGGCATTAAGATTATATCAAATGAGGATTAGTAGTAACAAACATCTCAGCTGGTGGACAAAAAGGGTGCAGAAATTAACTAGATAAAAATTGAGTGTAAACATTGTTTTCCATGTGTCGATCTCCGTGTATTCTTTTTCCGTATCTTTGGCCATTATGTTACGGGCCTGTGTACCTCTTATAATTTATGAAATTTATTCAAATACTTAGGTTACATGTTACTATTAAATTTATAATGAAGCATTTTTGTTAATAATAAAATAATTATGCGCTATTTCTGGTTTCTGATTTTGTTAATGCTGTTAGCCTTCTGGCTTTTACAGCTTGATATGGGTTTCAGAGCCCGCGGGCTGTAAAAGTGTATTTAACCCTTTAAGCGCCATAAAAATCCCTTGTAGTCGCATGCGCCCGGCAAATCCCGAGCGGTAGAATGCGACCGCACCCACCCACAGCACTTAAAACCATTAAAACTTATATTTGGAGACTACTTTTCTGTGAAGAAGTTTAGTATTATAAAGTCTATACAAAATTCTCCATCTTGTGATCTAAACGAAAGTCAAGTTATACTTCATTACAAAAGAAAATTATTGTATTTTGATAACAAAAAAAAAAAACATACCAAGCGAACGTCGGCAGCGTGAAAATCACAATTATTTCAATATATATCACTCGAAATTATTTACGTAAAAAGATAAATTATATTCAAACAAAAACTTTCATTACAATTTTATAATAAAACACTATATTTAGTATAGTAGTAGTATACACTAATAAAACACTAGAAAAATCCAAAAATTCAACACAATAACATTCACGAGAAAAGGGCGTACGAAATAAACGTAGATTATATAATATATATACAGCCGAAATTCATATTGATTATATAATGCCAAACTGCTTAGTAGAAAAGTAGTCTTTATATGTAAGATTTTATGGGTAAAAGTGCTGTTGGTGGGTGCGACCTCATGAGACCGCTAGTGATTTGACGGAATATGGCCGCGGTCTCATGACATCTCATTACGTCAGCAGTGTTGGTGGATTTCACATGTCTTCTATTTCTTTTAATTTCTCTATAATTTAGATTTCCTCACGATGATTTTCTTCACTGACGAGTATGCGGTAGACTAGCATTTAATACTGAAAGTTAATAATTTCATTGGTGCCGACAATGATCGATCTCCGGTTGCTTTCATACTATGTTTAAATAAAAACTATTTATAAATTTACAGTAAGCACTTAGACCCAGGGCTACCACGTCTCTCCTGTTATTTACATTAAAGTTATATAATTTTTAAATAATATCCAATTTGTTCCGAAATGGTTTCAGCAAAACTTTCAACTATTCCCGACATATTTAAATTTATACATGTTGTAATAAATTGAGTAATAATTACAATATTAAAACAACCATTTATATATTTTAGCGTCCTTTTAAAAATATATTAATTATTACGTAGCAAAATATGTCTTAAGGTACTTAGAAAAAAAAACAACAAAAAGGACTTAACATTTCTGTTTTGTACAATTTTATGAAAGTTTTAATTGAAGAATATTGATACGCTTGATATTTTTCATCATTAAAATGTATTTTATTTTCGTCTTATCGTATTTCTATGCGAACAGCGTATGTCTGTCATATTATCAAATAAACAGCTACTATAGAAAATCACTATTAAACAAAACGAGCAAACTGTTTCCAACGATTTTTCCGCAAAGTTATGTTGTTGCACTACCAAAGATAAGTCTTTGGTAGCCACCATGAAGTTTTTACTTTGGTAATTTTATTACTCAGTATTTATTTGTCGTTTGACATATGTGGTCTGATTTTTGGGCTATTTAGATTGTTCTCGTTCTTATCAATAATCCATTCATCCATCTATCTAATACAGCCTGTTAAGGCTTGCTAATAATTTTATACCGCGTCATGGGTTGACTGGCAGACGAATGCTTCTTAAGTCGACCCTTTGTGGTTTATCCATTAAAGTTTTTAAATAAAAAAATAAAGTCTTCTATGAACTTAGCCTTCCCCCTAGACTCATCATAGTGGGGATATTTGCCATAATTGCCACGCTTAGCAGGTAGGTTGGATGCCGCAGTTTTTTTATTTTCTAGTTCATATCAAGAAGATGCTATTTACTATCTTTTGTTTCAGTAATGTTGTCTCTTACAACAGTCACTGGATAATATGGAATAGTGAACGCTCTTACGCCTTTTAAACTTTAAAGGCTAGAAACTTTAGATGCGATATAGAAATTTGCATGCTGCAGAAAATTTATATGAGTATATTTTTGTCATTTCAAAGTAAAATGTTAATTCATCAAAGAAATAAAGAAATCCGTTTTTTTTTGTGTCGAGTTACAAATTCTACGAAATTGTTTTGACGCGTCCCTTTTGGTATTTCCAGCAGGTGCTCTCTCATTCATCAAAGAAAAATTAATTTACTAAACATTTTTTAAGAAACGAGAAAATTCAAACGTGAAATCTTAAGCATTATTAAGATAATTATAAACTTTTTTAGGTTAGTATTTGATATAAACGAACTATAAATTTAGGTTTACCTGTTTTTTAACATTATTAAATTAATTATTAACATTATTTATATTGCTCGTTCCGATTATAAGGAGTCCTATAGTGATTAGTAACGATTGAATAACGATTATTTAATCGTTATTTAATCGTTACTAATCACTACAGCCGCGTGCACCGGTTGTGGTTAATTTTTACGATTTCTGCCTTCCTTGGCCGTAGCCGTTTACCAAGTAAGATTAACAAAAGAGCATACAGTCCACCTGGTCGTAAGCGAATGCTTTTGCTTTGGAGATTTACGTCTATCCTCGATTAATAATCGAAGTAAAGATACGACTCATTCATGCCTATCGACTGGACAGAGATGGAATGCTTCATTATCAAAATTATCTGTTTGTGAGAAAGTCACTCATCATAACAATAATAGCACCCATATACTTCTATTTTATGCTGGTATTCTCTTAGAATGAAGGCCTTTACCGTTTAAGCAGACTCAATCGTAGTAGGGTCAATATCAGTTGCAGCGTGGCTATTGCTTATAATAAAACTAAAACTATAATAAAATCAAAACAATAAACTATTCTATGCATGTATTTAAAAATAATTTCTCTTTACAGGTAAATTTGAAGAAAAATCACCATAATAGCATATTTTGAAATATCAGCGCGTAGCAAGAACTACGGTAATGTAAATAATATTATAATTAATTTACATATTTTTAGCAGTACGTTCGAGGCCACTATGTAAGTATAAAGTTTTATATTCATATGAAAGGTTGTCTTTTACAAACCTGAACCTACCATAATTTACGTGATTTTAGAGTATAATGCCCCAACATATATCGAGAGTGCTACGAAATGCTACGTGTCGTAGCATCATTCCACGCTTACTTCTTGCAAACATTCGACATATTATTATTATGTCAACAAAAAATATTATCCTTGCGTAAAATTTTATTTTTTATTACATAATTTTTATCTGAAACAACTTTCATTTACAAATTATAATTTGTGTTAACTTTGAATTTTCTTATAAACAAAAGAAACGATTCTGTTAATTATTTAGTAGTGATGATCATTATCTCTCATATACCAAACATAAGCGGTTGTGTGTATGTCAGCAAAGCTTTTCTCCATCAACCCTAAAAATCCTCATTGGCTCTTCCGTTATAGAATTGACTTTAACCGCCATGTCTCGCACCTTTGACGCTTCTGCCCCTTCCTTATATCAGTATTAAGTCTAACGTAAACGAGATAGTTATATCGCCAGCTATCGGAAGCTATGTGATACCTCCCATGGGACGATATTGGCTGATGGAATCTCTTACTCCGTCCGTTACAACCTTGCACTATAGTGTAATATAGTCCCTCCGATAGGAGGGATATGTGACATAGTTGCTACTCTCTACTTTATAAATTTTTTTAGTTCTTATTAGGTGCTGCTCCCTTTTGGTTCATTTTACTCTGTCGTTACGTTACGGGGTAGTGGATATTCTATCTTCATCATCATTACAGCTCATCACAAGTCTACTGCTGAACAAAGGCCTCCCCCAAAGGATGCCACAAAGCACGGACCTGAGCCACCTGCCTTGCCAGATCGTCACTCCATCTAGTGGGGGGTCGCCCTACAATTTGCCTACTGTTACTAGGCTACCACTCGAGAAACTTTTTTTCCCATCGGTTGTGGATTCTTCGAGCTATTTAGTTGCCCAATGCCACTTCACCTTACTAATCTGATGCGCTATGGCGGTCGCTCTGGTTCTACTGCGGATATCTTCATTTCTAAGTTTATCACGTATAGAAATCCCGAGCATAGCGTCCTCATACGGTCAGCCGCGAAGGACCACAACTCAGATCTATGTGTCATCACTGGCAACACGCACTGGTTGTAAAATCTCGTTTTCAAGTTTTGAGGTGTACATGACGAGAAGATGTGTTGTAATTTCCCGAACGTTGCCCAGCCGAGTTGAATCTGTCGAGTGACCTCTCG